AAAAAAAAAAAAAAAAAAAAAGAAAAGAGCGGCGAAGAATTTCGAGGAAATAAATATTTAATTTCTTTTTATCCTCGGCTAACTTTTTATTCTCCCCCTCCTTTCCCATTCTTTCCTCGAAATTAGGTATCCAAAGGTGAACGCGATCGCGAACGAAACCACGGATCTTCTTCTATATTTATGAAATCAATTACGAACGACGAGCTAATTACCAGACGATCGAGTTTCCCCTCGTTCTATTTTCGAAGGCGAAACGACGAAGCAAAAGGAGAGCGCGAGTAAGGGAGCAGGGATTGCAGCGTGCAATCGCCTCCAGCTCGAAAAACGAGAAACGGATGAGAAAAAGGAAGCGTCGATACTTGCACCGGCGCGAGAAAAACGTGGACCGATAAAAGTTTCGCGGAATTCTTTAAAAAAAAGAAAAATAATAATTCTCGATCGTTTATTCGAGTTTCGAGATAATCGATATATACCCATCGATGGAACCAGTGTTCACAAATAAGCGTAACTTCGTTAGAATTATTCGTATCATCAAATTTAATCTCTCTCTCTCTTTTTCTCTCTCTTTATGCAAAACTTTAACGAGTATAGAAAAATCGACGACTTTTACACGAATTAGAATCCGTTGATCAAGGAATACTCGAACGAGAACGTTTAATTTCGTCGGGGATCGTCGAATCGAATTGGAAATTGCGTATGGGTGAAATGATAAAGAGGAAAGAGGACGCGGCGCATCGATTTTCGAGCAATGGCAAAAAAGGCGAATTCCTGCATGGGACGGAAGGGAGGGAAGAGGAGTGGGAAGGGGAAGGAGCGGAAAAAGAAACGAGAAGAGAGGAACGAGATGTACGATGAGGCGTTCGTTCGTGCGAGGTTTCTGTTCGAGAAACCCTCGGTGGAAACTGACATTAAGGATGCCTAGGACTGCTCTAGGCTTCCAGGAAGGCCGGGCTAGAGTCGTGGCAACCCCGCATAGAGAAGTCCTGCAGACCATGAGTAGACAAACGTGACTAACATTGCGCTCCGTGTATTATCGCGACAACCCTGCACCGGCCACATACAGGGTGGCTTCGAATCGCGAAAACCTCCTCCAAACCTCCTCCGGATCAGCGCCAAAAAAAAACCGCGAAGAAATCCGCACGGATATCATTGATCGAAAAAGACATATATATAAATATATATCTACGGGATAAAATAAACGACAACGATAACGGATAAATAGAGATGAATTTATCGAGATACGATCGATATCGAGCGGGTTATATAAAGTTGAAAGAATGAAGTCTTCAAAGGGGGCTGACGAACCGAGTAATACGAGAATCGCGTGCATCCGTCCAATTCCGTCCTCTCCTCCGAGGCGATCTTTTCTACCATCTTCTCCTTATAAACACGCGCGCAAATTTCTAACGTGTTCACGATATCCCCGTGTATCGTCCCTTCGTACACGGATAGAATTCCGTTTCGAAAACTCGCTGCTCGTTCCAAAATTCCGTGACTTCCCCCCTCCCGAGGGAAGGGGGCAAAGTTTCAAACAGCGGGAAGCATTAATTCTTCGCACGATTTCGTATGGAAATTGCCGGGAAAAATTCGAGTTTCGAATGGCTCGAAACGTATCCGGATTTCTCGTCTCTCCGGTGTGCCATGTGCACGTAGGAGTAAAGGATCGGCGTTGGTCGGTGTGTGCGTGCGCCTGTGCGCGCGCGCGCGCGCGCGTACGCGCGTGTGTGAACGCGGCGGGCCCCGTGTGTGCGTTAATAATGATGACTGACCGACTGGTGCACTAGGTGGGGCAAGTTCACGGTCATGCGTCGTGCATAGCGCTCGGTAGGCACACGCGCGCGCGTGTGCATTTCTGCGTGCGTATACGGCCCTGTTCTTCCTTGCCCGCGCGTGGATTTGTTCTTCTTGCGGGGAGAGGACTTATCTCAGCTGTCTCGTGCACCTCGACATAACACGACCGACCTAACGCACCAGAAATGCGCGCCATACCTACCCTCCTCTCTTTCTCTCTCTCTCTCTCTCTCTCGCTCCTTCTCCTTTAAATCTCCTCCTCCTCGCGTGATCCACGACCCCGCGGGGAAATTATCCTGCTGGTTGGCCGGATGCACGGACTCGGTTTTCGGTCCACGGCGAAAATACAGAGCAATTTGCTTCCCAATTTCGCTACCATTAGCCGAATTGGATTTTTGAAGGAATTACGGGAGAATCACGTACGTTCCTTTTCACGCGATCACGGATTCACGGACGTTGAATTTAAACGTTTCCTCCGAGCGAGTTTTAATTTAACGAGATTCCTCTTCTTTCGGGGGTTGTAAGATAATTATTAGAGGGAGTTATTTCTAAGTACCTACGATGCTGAGGAGAAGCGCACGTGGTACAGTGGGACGTCCAAGTTGCATTATCGATGCGACTCGTGCCGCATTTTGAACAGGCCTCTTTCAGGAACAACATTCCGAAACATTGTCGGTCAAGGGCGAAAAAGTGTAGAGAAAGATCGTTGCGTTTATGGAATTTCCTTCTCGTTTTTTTTTTTTTTTTTTCTTTCAAACAAATTGAATTAATCGAATTTACATTTTCTCTGTTTCCATCCGATCTCCTCCTCGAGGAAAGACACAGATGTTTCACGGAAAGTTTCAACGAAGCGGAATAGAGGAATAAACGCAACCAACTCTCGCTCGCCCTGCAATCCTAGGCGGAAAGGGTTCCCAGAAAAGGGCTCGACCGTGTTTCAGAAAGCAGCGGGGCGAGCGCTCACGATCGAACGAGCAGACAGACACGCCGGCCGGCTCTCTCTAAATTTCGCCATTGACCTTGACTGCCAAGTTCACGCTTCAAAGATCATCTTATTGGCCCAAGTCTTTTCCTCCCGATAAACGTCCGTCGAATACATAATAGCCCCACTGTTCCTCCTCTCCAATCCGACAAATAAAAATATTCGTATTGGATCGCGAACGTAAATGTATCGGCGATGCACGTATCGACGATCGATCGATCTATCGAAAATGAATAAACAGAGAACAAACAAAATCCCCGACATTATGTAATAATTAAACAGCGAAAGATAAAGATAATCTCGTTACCCTCGATCTTGATCTCGTTTCATCTGCTCGAAACGTTGAAGCAAATTCGAAAGGTTGGATCGGGGATAGAATCGAGCCGGATGTGCACGCTTGCGGAGGAGGGGGTCGCGATTAATAGACGGTTTCGGGGCGATGATACTTTTATCTCGTCCGTTCGATCTCTCCCCGGCCAATTTTCAAGCGGGTAGGGTAGAGAAGAGCGGGAGGGGAAGCCGTAAAATCGAATTAAATCGCTGTGATCCGATGCGGTGGTGGTAGGACGCTTGAACGAACAATTCGCGTCGCCGCGATAAATCGAGCGCTTACCTCGGAGACTAGGCTTTTTCGCGTCGGCCCGTTTCGGCGGTGTCCTGCTCGCGGGCAACCGCGTCGGGAACGCGAACATTCCTATGCTTACCAACATCAGCATGGCGGCTATCAGCACCAAACCTGAAACATTCCATCGTTTTTCCTCCAATCTCGTTTGCGAGATCTCGAGAAGAAGGTGTAATAGGAGGAGGGGGAAAAAAAAAAAATTTTCACAGAGAAAAGGAAGGAAGGAAGGAAGGAATTGAGTAACGTTCGAATCGACGTGTAAGATGTAATAAGAACGAGAAATATCAATTTACCAAGCCACCATGCCCCGACCCATCTCGGATCCGTCGGCGTGATTTGCGGATTCGCCGACAAATCCGCGTAAATCATGGTGCACAACGAGCCCAGAATGAAGCCCAGGGCTGGACCGAGGATCCTCACTCCGATCGTGATCGCTGCAACAAAGTACGGGGACAACGTGTCCCGTGAGTATGCAAATTCTCGACGTAACATTGAAATTCCGCACGATAACGCAACAATGAATCAAAATAATCGAAGTGAAAGATCTTGGTATGGCCCCCTCGGCCCCGAGCAAAGACTCTTTCGAGTCGCACGAAAGCAAAGGCTTTCTCGAACCCTGTTTTGCTCCCCTTCCCCTCCCTCCCCCCGTTTGTCCCCTTTTCTTCGCGATATAATAGAAACGGTAGAAGGGGGAGGAATTCGTATTCTCACCGAAATAGAGCGGGCTTTCTCTGCTGGCCACATTGTCATCGATGTAAGGGATACCGAGGGTGTAGACCGCCGTCTGACCCATTCCAACGCCCAACAAGGAGACGAAAAATATCGCCAGGACCACCGTGGTTATTTTGCTCTGTATCCTCTGCTCCGTCAACGAGTCGCCTTTGCACTCGTTCATCGTGTGCATTTGAGTCGTGGACGAGATCCAGCTTCGAGAACAAGAAAAAAAAAAACCGTCGTCATCGATTCGAATTTTTCTCAAAGACCTGTATTTTTTCCTTTTTTTTTTTATATATTTATAAACGGAGAGATCTAACCCATTTAAAAAAAAAAAGAAAAAGGTACGATCGATACATCGTGGAGGTAAAGAGAGAGAGAGATACGGGTTGCACGCAGAAATTGCAACACAATTTCGAAAGAGAAGAGAAGA